CGTTGTGCACCGTGGTCTTCCTGCTCGTCTACTTCTTCGGCATGGCTAGCTCCATCTGGTGGGTCATCCTCTCCCTCACCTGGTTCCTGGCCGCCGGCATGAAGTGGGGGAACGAGGCCATCGCTGGCTACGCACAGTACTTCCACCTGGCCGCCTGGCTGCTCCCCAGCGTCAAGTCCATTGCTGTGCTGGCGCTCAGTTCTGTGGACGGGGACCCCGTGGCTGGCATCTGCTACGTGGGCAACCAGAGCCTGGAGAACTTGCGGGGCTTCGTGCTGGCACCGCTGCTCATCTACTTGGCCATCGGCTCCATGTTCCTGCTCGCTGGCTTCGTCTCACTCTTCCGTATCCGCAGTGTCATCAAACAGCAGGGTGGCCCCACCAAGACCCATAAGCTGGAGAAGCTGATGATACGCCTGGGACTCTTCACCGTGCTCTACACTGTGCCAGCTGCCAGCGTGGTCGCCTGCCTCTTCTACGAGCAGCACAACCGGCCACGCTGGGAGGCCACGCACAACTGTCCCTGCCTGCGTGACCAACAGCCTGACCAGGCCCGCCGCCCTGACTATGCCGTCTTCATGCTCAAGTACTTCATGTGCCTGGTGGTGGGCATCACCTCCGGCGTCTGGGTCTGGTCTGGCAAGACCCTTGAGTCCTGGAGAGCCCTCTGCACTCGCTGTTGCTGGGCCAGCAAAGGTGCTGCCGTGGCTGGGAGCGCAGGGGCAGGAGCAGGTGGGCAGGCAGCAATCACCGCAGCAGGAGGACTTGGGGCTGGAGGTGGTGGCTCACTCTACAGTGATGTCAGGCACTGCCAGCTCTGTCTCCTATCCCAAGCAGATGCCCCTGTCTCAAGTATGAGGAGGGCAAAAGAGGCCAAAGGTTAGGGATTGAGGGACACTGGCCTGTCTAAAATGCCCCCTCACTGTTTGGTGCCATTAATGAACCCCTAATGGTCCTTATTAGCCACAGCTTGTATAGAACAATGCAGCTGGCAGAGGCCCCAGGCTCCAGCCCCCTCCTCCTTCCCCTCCATTCATATGCAGGGAGCATGTACTTCAAGGAGCCAGCTTATTATTTTGCTGGCAGAGGAGGGTAGAGGCTCACCCGTGTCTTACAGAGGGCAAGGCACAGCAGCTTCTGAGTCACTCTGGACTAACAGCAACTCTTTACTCAAGGGAGGGAGGGTCTTCCTCCCCCCAGTCCTGAGGTGGGAGTCTGCTGGGACTGCAGGTTTTTGAGATGTTGATGACCAGGCAAATGCCTTACAATATAGACTGAAACAAAACATGTCTTAATTATACACCCCAGCTAAATACGGGTTTCCTACATTAAAGGATGTATTTATATAATTATTTGTTACCTTGTACAGATGTGTAAAATATGTATATATCCAAAGCTATACAGTCTGTAAATTTTTTTGTAAAAATGTTTAGAGGCTACCCCTGTAAGAGCAAATATGAGTATTCTATTTTGTCAATAAAATGACTTTTGATAAATGACTTTTTCAAGCTTTTCCCCTACTCTTGCCTTGGTTCTTCGAACTGCTATATCTTTAGGTAGTTGTATAAACTACAAACTGCATTCATGCTCCAGTCATTACCTGTTAAAGTATTGAGATATGTAGACACAAGAAAACAAGTCATTCAACAAGTTGTTCTGAAAAAGTGTTTGCCAGAATGGGGAGATGCCTTGCCATAGTTCTCTGCTTTTTGAAAGATGACAGTATCTTTAAACTGAGCCTTTACAAAAGAGTCATCTCACATGGCATGTTAAGTATCCTTTTAAAATGGGTGTTATTTTAGGAATGTGCACAGAGGCCTCTTGTATCTGTTGTCTGCACTTCTGTAAGCACCTGCCTTTCCTGGGATGCATACTGAAGTGTAAAAGGTTAATGTTTTAAATTCATAGATCATGTACTTTGGTGGAACAGCGAGTTGAGATTTGTTAGATCAATCTCTTCTTAACAGATTAAACTAACATCTTAACTTTTGTATATCAAATATGGTGCTTTTTCAAGAGAAAAGGTATTGTTCTTCTGTCAGGACTAAGCTAATTTATTTGAGCAGAAGGCTGTTGAATTAACAGAAGAATGCTTTGGCAATTGTTGAACTTTTTACCTGTCTGCCCAGTGGCTCAGAACATCATTCCTTTAAGAGGAGCTAAATGAATAGGGTTAATCTGTAGGGAACTTGGTTTCTTTTGAGTTTGGAAAACTTTGATCTTTTCTCTTCACCAAACGTGATGTATAGTCTGAAGTTTCTTTCCCTGCTGCCTGGTTCCTCTTGTTGCAGACCAATTGGCCACCATGGAGCCTTAAAGTTCTTCAATTAAAGGGACATGGGACTTTTTTTTTTTTTTATTTTAAGAGGAAGACTTGTAACAGTTAGTGAACACCAGAGGGAAAAGGGAGAACAGCCTTTTAAACAGCTTTTCCCTGCATTGTTAGCCAGACTGCAGGCAGCAAGGCATGGCTTGGAGCATTATAGAAAAGAGCTATGAATGCCCTACAGGTGGTCTGCTCACATAATCTCCCCAATTTAAAACATTTTCCTTTACAGGACAATTGCATTACAAAACTCCCTTCTCTTTTGCTCCTAATTGAACCAAAGAACTACTACAAGATTTTCTTTAAAAACTGAGTGTCTAAAAAAATTTAAAATGTATTAACTACATTCTAATCTGTTTTCTAAAATGCGAGTACTCACAATGCCAGGAGTAAAAACTGCATTAGACATTATTCCAGATATTTTTATGTCTTCTGCTTATATTCTGTCAAATTAACAATAATTTAAAAGCAATTGGTTAGGTTGTGTGCTAGCAGTGAAAAGATAGCCCCAGGTCCCTTATTAACCTGCCAATCATGATAAGAGATGGGCAGCTGCCCTACTAATGACACAGATATCAGTCATGATTTGTGGGAAAAACCTTGTTTCATTGAACACTGACTTGATTATTGGTGTCCTTTTCAAAGATCTCCTAACTTAATAGACTTCACTTCTACAAAGTTACTGGGATCATGAAAAGGAGGAATTTAAAATGCTCCTAACACCTTAGAGGGAAAAATAGTTTTAACTTCTCAAATGCAAAGGAAGTTCCACTGGAATTTGTTCATGGTACCTATTTATACACCAATTGACCAGGATCAGAATATTGATATACCTGTAAGTTGAAGAGGCTCTAGTATTTTCTTGTATTGCTGGAAACATTTTTTTTTCACAATTGTTGAAACATTTAGATCAACGTGGCACTTTCCACTGCTGTCAGCAGGGCTGAGGTAGAGATCTTCCTGCTTGGGAAGCTCCACATATAGAAGCACAGTCAGTTCTGCAGATAAAAATCTGAGTGAGTTCCCCTCCAGCAGGTTCTAGCAAGGAAGACAGAGGGGAGCTACAGCCACAACTCTTGTCTGAGAATTTGTTTAGATAGGTCTCTTGCAGACTGCTGGTACAGGTTGCTGGTACTGAGATAAAAGCATTTCTAGTAAAAGAAAGGAAGTAGTCCTGTGGCTTAACCTATTCTAGAACGAGCCAAGGGGTGTTACAGGTGAATTTAGGCAGGAAAGGAGTCTCAGAGCTAGTCAAGTTACCAAGATGCCTGCTTTGGAATTGACTGAGTAATAATGCAAAGGCTAAACAAATAAAAATGAGGCAAAATTCAAATCACTAGAAACACAAAGATAGGGAAATGGTGCTAAAGAAGTTAACTTACAAGTGCAGATTTTTGTGATTCAGCATAAAATTCGTGTATAAGGAAAAACATAAACACCAACAGCAAGTCATTTAGGTATAAAAGAAATACAAATCCACGACTACAAAGAACTTCACATTATTAGGATATCTTTTATCAGAATTTAAAGATACATTTCATATAAAGACCAAAAAAATATTGTTGTGTCATTGGTAGGAAATACATGTTAGCTTTCAAGATCTGATGATAAACTGCCTTCTCCCTTACATTTGACAGAAAGCTATTAAAAATAGCACCAGCAGACCATGGCCCAAGCCCTTACCTGCAGAACAGGAGTGCCCTCGGCATCCCTGCTGGCCCAGGCTCATCCATGGGCAGGGACAGCATCCACGCACACCAGCTCCAGAGAGCTAAGGGAAAGCTCCCCTGTCACTGATGTGGCCCGTAGCACAACTTGTATAGCAACATTTGGAGAGCTGCACAAATGGCAACTAAGAGCCTCCCATAGCTCACAGAAAGGCCTGACTGCTCTGTTCAGGCGAGTGACCAACCCAGCAGAGGAACATGGTTTGGGATTTTTTTCTTCCCAAATAAGCAACGTACCTTTAAAGTGTTATTTTTCTTTCCAGGACTCCTCTTTGCTTTGCATGTTCCTGCTTCAAAAGAAAATGTTGTGGATTATTCTCCTCCTCCTGCTGCAATGACTAAATAATGCTGCAGCCTCCCACATTGCTGGCCTAGCTTCTGGTGGGCATTTTAAAAGGAGGCAGAGCAGTGCAGGTGTGCTGGAGAGCCTCAGCAGGGACATCACACGTTCCCTGGGCCCTTCTGCTAAGGCCTTGGGGGCTATCTGGAAGTATCCTACAATGTACTCAAAGTTTTCCCTGTGCAGGAGAAGCTTCCCTGGAGGTTTGATAATCAATCATGGAAGGGAAGGGACTTCAGACAGAGAGGAATTAGGTCATTCTCATATATTATAATAATATGAATGTGACCAGGCTTTCTGGGAAGGCTATGAAGGCTAAGACTGGTACACAAGGAGTATTTTTTCCTTCTTTCTTACGTAGAATTTGAAAAGCAAAGTGTTGGGGTGGTCACCTATTAAACAGTTCTTCAAGTGTGCTTGAGTAGTCCTAAAAAGAGTCCCAGGAGGGGTAGGAAAGCTGGAGGCAGGGGTGTCTGTATGCACACACTACCCACAGCTTCACCCCAGCTTTGGTGCCCAGGCTCTCTTCAGGTTCACTCGGGAGGACACCTCGCTAGGCACATGAAGGTGCCTTGTAGAAGAAATTGGCAACAGTTTTTCACAAGAGGAGACTTGTACCAGGAGACAAGGCAGAATGCCCAAATTTAAAAAGGAATCACTAGCTGAAAAAGAAATACATTGGGAGAATCCCAGGCCTACTTTGGAATATGAAAATTAATACAAGACCACTGCTTGATCCCAGTGACTGTGCTCAAGACATTTATGTCACAAGCACTACATGCAGTGCAAAAGCCAAACTAAGCCTGCTCAGTAAGTTAACCTTCTCAGTCGATAAAGACTTGGAATTTTATACGGGATAGACAGGCCACCTAAAAGCAAACTGGTGATAATGAACACTGAAAAATGACAAAAGATGCTCCTGGAGTGAAAGCTCTCCTACAGTCAAGATCATGCTGGAGGAAAGCTCAGTGTGGGCCAGTCAAACCAGCTAGTGGAATCACAACCAGTTTCCAAAGTGCCTGTTACAACCTGCCTGTAGCATGCCCTGCTCCTGCACCCCATTCCAGAGCCACACAGCCCGTGTTTCTCTAGGCACACACTTCTACTCCCACACACCGTGGTCGATACAGCTGCTGGCCTAATAGGGAAGCAGGTAAGGAACAACCTCTCTCCATTGCCCATCCTGGCCATGTTCCCTCTCTTTTTGTTCTGCATACAAGATGGTATGGAAGAGATAGCACATCTCTTCTTAAAGAGGCTGGGCAACAAAGGTCACCCTGAGAACAGTAGGATGAGTCTAAGAAGAATAAAGAGATCTACAAATGATGTTCCAAAGAAGAAATATTAAACAGGACAGGCTCCCAGCATGTGGTCATGATGAGTTCTAGGCAGCCTTTAAGAGAATGTAGTTAGAAATCTTCAGACAACTGTATTGATTTAAGCTTTTATAACTGCCCATCATTACTGTAATCAGGTATATGAATTTCACTAGTTCAGCAGAAAGGATCATACATCATAAATGCTGTGGTGGTATGGAAATAACTACTGTCTGGTGTTAAAATGTGGAGCAATAATATGAGGCGACTAAGGATAGTCAAATCACTTCAGAAACTACTACCTAAGGTCAAATACTGAACCAAGCTTTTTGAAGGCTGAGATAACACTTTTTCACTCCTACAAGTCTCTTATCTGTGCTCTCAAAACACTTTACATTCACTTGTTAATTAATAGTCAAATTTCTTCTTGTGAGACAAAAATTGTGGTAATAATACCCAGGCTAACGAAACTTAAATGCAAGTCTAGGGGAAGAACCTGGATTTCCTGACTCCACTCTGTGTTTTCAGTAAAGCTCCATTTTACAAGCATGTCCTCACACCTCTGCCCTCCCCACCAATTTCCCCCCAATAGTCCGCCAAAAGCCACAGTCCCACATTCCCAGTACCCAGGTACAGCAGCAAATCTGTCACCGGGGGCTGCCCGAGACAAATCGGGGCAATGGATGTTGAGGGGCTGGAGCCCAGTCGGCTTTTAAAAGAATGGAGAAAAACGAGTCATTGCTCCATTCGCTAAGGCAGGGAGGTATGGAAAATAGGGTTTACAACAATT